TCCTACCCATACCTGCAAGGATCACTTTGCTGGGAGGAATCTGATGCCAGGGCCTGGGTCACTTCTAAGCCAGGAACAGGAACACTTTCTGGTCACCCCAAAGGAAGGAATAAATCCAGATCAGAGTTCACAACCTGAGCTCTTGCTCACTCTTTATTCATGGGAAGGGAGGCCCAGTCCTAGGCAGACTGAACCTCTCCTAAGGAACCGTGGAGACAAAAGCTGGAAACTTCCAGAATCCTTAGGTTCAGATCCCCCTTGGAGTCACCCTGAGGACTGTCTCACCAGAGCATTCTTCTGTCCACAGATGTCTCATTGGGTCTACAAAGGAATCCTCACAGAGGTCTGGGGCCCAGGATGGTCACCCCTACTGAATGTCAAGAAGGCGAAGGCCAAGAACCCAGGGAAACACCAGCTCTGGTCCTTCCAGTCCCAGCCAGAGCAGGATGTATACGCCAGACCATGTCAGAAGCCCAGTTACCCATATGGAGGGAAAGTCAACCCCAAGGGGGCGGAAGGGGTCAGTCACACATCCTGGGCAGACAGTGGTGTGGGCAACACAGGTGAGCTGCGCGCTGCTGACTTTGCCTGACTTTGGAAATGAAGAGAAGTTTCTGCAGAAAAAGCCTCCTTTCCTTCCAGAACCACTACTTCATGACAGCAGTTTTGACACTGAGTCTTGTGTCTGTTCTGAGGCCTGGCCCTGCTCTATAGAAAATGGGGCAGGCCAAGATGTCCTCAGTGAACGTGCACCAGAATGACCTAGATGTGAGCCACACCTTCACAAGCCACACCATGTTCAGAGAGCGCTGCAGCAACAAGTAAGGCATGTGGGGTGTGGAGGGTCCCAGGGCAGGTGGGCAATCCGGAGGGATGGGGCATCTGAGGGGCAATGGGGAGGTCTCAGGACAGGGGTAGGGCATCAGAGAAGAGGGTGACAGCCCAGCCTACTGCCTGGAGTTCTGGCTTTGGGAAGGATCTGCAGAGGGGCCTGGAATAGTGAGGTTTTCAGGGCAGTCCAGGGTGCTCTGAACACCTCTGCTCCTTCTGTGCAGACAAGCAAATGTTGTGTACCCAGATTGCCACCTTAAAATGGCTACTACAGTGCTTGATTGATGGGACCAGTGTGCATAGGAGACCCCAGGCCAGGGACCCTGCTGCCCTACAGGGCCTGGCTTCCCCAGCTGAGGGGTCTGGCTCCTCCAGAAGGACCCAGCTCCCTTCCTCTGCGCAGGAGGCAGAGGCAGGTCCCTGCAGGGCACACAAACCATGTCCTGCCTGAGAGGGGGTGTTACACGACTGGGGCTGGGACTCAGGGCCAGCATCCTGGGCAGACTGGGCCAAGACTCATCTTGGGAGAGTACTTGGGGAGCCCCCTCTTTCAGGGGCCACATTTGATGGAGATGAGACCACCCCTATAAGAAGCTGCAAGACCTTATCTGATCCAGCCTCCTGTGGGAGGTCTCATCCCATGCATAGGGGCCCCCCAGCACCACAGACTGAGGACCTAGTAGGCCCTGCTCAGGCCACCAGCCTTCCACCTTGAAGGGCCAGGTCCTCCCATGCCTGCTGTCCCCATAAATTCCTACTTCAAGCTCATCACAAGCTTATCCTGAGGCTCTGGTACATCTGCCTTCTGCAGGGCAAGCACATGCTCACAGCCAGGGCATATGTGGCATTGAAAGTGCACAGAACCCTGTCCCCATGTGCCCGAGAGTGCCGAGGGAGCACACAAGCACATCAAACCTAGCCCAAGGGCAGTGCCCACACTGCCCACAGGACCCTCTGCTTTAGCCCTGAGGGAGGGCCAAACCAATTCAACTCTGGTGGGTTGGAGAGGGCACCATGAGTCCTCCTGGAAACTGAACCCACCCCTGACACAACTCAGATGAAAGGCAGGAGTGTGGCAAACACTTCCCTGCCTGGACCTTCCTGTATCCATTGCCTCCTGTGCAGAACTGGACCCCAGGGGTGTCCAGAAATGACCCAGCACTGTCCAGTGCGAGGTGCCCAGGGCAGAAACAGGGTGAAGGCACAGACCCCTCCCAGGAGATCCCTCCTGGCCTGATGCCCAGCCCCAAACCTAGACCCTCTCCTGAAGCTCTCCTATTTGTCCTGTGGGAGCTCTCCCAAGACACACTGTCCCAGACCTGGGATCTGGATGATGATGTGGTTCTCAGGCACTTGAGGGCCTCTATGGCTGAGCTCAGAAGAATGCACTGTGACCTGCCCTCTAGGTGGTCTCCAGCACCAGGTCCCCTCCTGAGTCACCATCTAAGACAGTAAAAAGTGGGGAGTGCACAGGACCCTCCATCCCTGCTCCCCAGGCCTTCCTTCTCCTCCTCCTCTTCCTTCTCTAAGAATTTTCTAAAAACAGGCCAGCTGGGCCCCAGGGCAGGCATTGGACTCACCTCAGTAACAGGGCAGGGGATGAGGGCAAGACCCCTCCAAGCCCCCACCGCACCCTTCCCCTCCTGCCGTAGAAGAACCCTTGAGGGCCCTGGAGGGTTCGGTCCCATCTGTGCCAGCCCACACCCATAGCTGCGAGCACCAACAGGGCCAGAGAGCAACAGGGGTCCCCACTCACGAGTTCCCATACCCCAGGCAGCATACACCCCTCACTGTGGGATCAGCATTCTGTAGGTGTTTCCTCAGTGTCAGACCAGGTGGGTTACCAGAGACCCCAAGATTCCAAAAACCCAAACTGTACAAGGGTCAGATGGGCTTGGGGGAGAAGTGGACCAAGTTTGCTTTCCATTCAGATAAACATATAAAGATCCCTAGGAAGGCCCTGGTCCTGGAGCGAGTGTCTCTGGCACCCAGACCTCTGCGGGCATCCCTCAGCATGGAGACCCTTCCCAAGGGGGAGGGGCTTGCCCTCCCTGGCCCGCCAGCCCAGCTCCAGAAGCCCAGAAGCTGACCGAGGCCAAGACCCAGCAGCATGAGAATTCTGTAGAGCCCAGGACAGCAGGTCACTCTCTGGTGGCGTAGTGGCTCAAGATGTGGCAAGTCTGTTCCTATCTCAGGATAGACCATGGGATTTTTGGTGAGTTCTGTGTTGAAATTCTCTCCCAAACTCCCCATGGACCTAGACATCCGGGGCTCATGGTGTCCACAGTGCAGCTTTGAGCAGGCATGTCAAACCCTTGTTCTTTCATCTTCCCTGGACAGCCCAGGACCATAGGACAGACCCTGGCCTTGAACCCCATCAGGGCCCCCACAACCAGGCCTTGCCCAGCCCACCGAAACCCCAGTAGTAGGGCCACAGACACTCCCCTTGCATTGTGGCACCTGGACCTGACCTTTCTCAGGGGCCACTGAGCAGCACAGCCTTAAAGGAGCCAAGACAGCACCCACACAACCCCAGACAGCTCCTCAGCTAGGTGAAATCAGTGTCAATGGGGAAGCTGGACTCAGAGGCTGCTGGAGGGCAGAAGGATTGTGGCATCTGCAGAGCCCTAGCCAGCCAGCGCCTATCACATGTCCCTATGCCTGCCCACTTGTGTGACAGAGCCTCCCTCACAGGGCAAATATCCCAGACCTACAGATGCCCAGCCCAGCCCAAGCCCTGGGAGAAAAGGGACCCAGGAGAACCATAGGTGCCCCAGAAATAGCCAAGATAACAAAACAGGGGACTGAGCTTCCTGGGGCACTGGCCAAAATTAGAATTTGGCCCAAAGAAGGGCAAGCCCCTTAAAGTAGTGTGTGGGTACGCAAGCCCCCCAGCCAAGGCAGGAAATGCCTGGGAGGGCCAAGGCAGTGACGTTATCAGGCTCAAAAAGCAACCATCCACATCACCAAGGGTGGGATAGGAGCAGGTGGACCAGCCTCCAACCTCTTCAACTCAAGGAAGCAGTGATGGCTGGGCTCTCACACCCTGAGTGGCCACCATCTGACCGTCAGTGGGGCAGAGGCCAGAGACCATCGATCAGATGGTCCTGGTGCCCTGCTTCTACCACACAAGAATGCCTTCAAGTCACACGATCAAGAAGCAGGGCAAGAATGGCCCGGGTCCGTGGGTCTGCTCTCCTCAGCAGGTGCCAAGGACAGAAAAAGTCAGAAAAGTTGTCTGTGGCCAGAGAAAGTCAGAAAGGTAATCTCACTCCTTGGAAGGAGGCTCCAAGGTGGGGACCAGAGCTGCAGGGGGAGGAGGAGCTCCTGGCAGCACTGAAATAGGCTCTGGCAGGATCCCAGAGTCTACGGTTCCATCCTTCTCTTTTTCCTTTTCTTTGAGAGCTTGGACTCTTCTTCCATTTGATGGTAAGTCTGCAGTCAAGGACAATGAATTTACAAAAGGACTTCTCAGTGGCCATTTCCGCAGCCTGCCCTGTGGAAAGCCGATGAGAGCACACTGTTGTCTCTGCAAAACAGTGACCGTCCAGATCTCACCAACAGGTAGATTATTTTTTAAATCTGTCTCAGTAATGGTATCCCCCAGACCATCAACATAGAGTGGGGGCAGACTTCTCCGCCAGTGGGTCTGGATGACGCATGGTTGAAGCCTGCTCTAGAAGTTTATCTGCTACAGGGTCATTGTTTTCACAAATCAATCTTTCATATTCTGATCAGCAAGGGGTCATCTGGATCTGCAGGCTCCTCATGTCTGTGTGGACACTCCTCTCCTCTCTCACCCTCTCCTTTCACCCACAAAGAGCAAATGTGGGGCTTATTCCTTAGGTAGTAGAGTGTGTTCCGGGCCAGTTTGAGCAGCATGTCACGGGTGGATGCAGCTTTCCCCAGTGCAACAGCTGGTCGTGTTCTATCAGGGTTAGAAATCCCTCTCTCTATATCCGCAGTCACCTTTTAAAGACAGTTCTGCATCATGAACCTGGATGGGCAGCCATACTCCAGGTGTGAAAGGCAGGTCTGAGGGACATTTCCCACAGGCTTGGCACTCTCCAGTCTTCTTGGAACGCATGTGCACCACAGACCCCCAGCCAGACACTGAATGGCCTGGCACAAATTTTGCACTTTTTCTCACAGTTTTCTTTGGTCATTTAGATACACAGGTTTTCTCCAGGACATGTGTGACACAGAGGAGAGAAACATCCTCCCAGGTTTATCTGTTTTAGGTGCTGGAGCCCAGAGAGGTCTCCTCTTGAGAGGGTCAGCAGGCAGCAGTAGTTTTCAGGTGGGAGAGAGGACCCCCACAATCCCACCAGCCCCAGCTCTTCTTTCTGGCTACTCTTGAGACCCTGGGCAATGGCCTTTGACCATGTGTGATTCGTCTTTCTTGACTCAAGGTGAACCTCACTTCCAAGGAATCTCCATTCTTGGAGGAAACTCTTGGCTTCCTAGTGTCTCCAAGAACTGGCCTGGAAGAGACAGAGAAATGTGGATGCATCTTGAGACACTCACAGTGTAAACTTGGTGCTTTTCAAAGACCCTCCCTCTACACTGACAGGGCTTAAGGAGACCTTGTGTCTGCTTCCAGGAGATTGACAAAACCTTAAATGAGAAGGTCAAGAACCAGGATCACTGGAAAAAGAAACGTCCAGTCTCTAAACTCATAGACATGTTGTGGAACATCTGTGTGTCTGGATGTTTATTGTGTCCAATGATGGATAAAGACTCAAAAACTCACCGGCTGTGGTGGCTCACACCCTTAATCCCAGCAATTTGGGAGGCCAAAGCAGGTGGATCACCTGAGGTCAGGAGTTCAAGACCAGCCTAGCCAACATGGTGAAACCCTGTCTCTACTAAAAATACAAAATTTAGCAGGACACCATGGTGTGAGCCTGTAAACCCAGCTACTTGAGAGGCTGAGGCAAGAAAGTCATTTGAACCTGGGAGGCAGAGGTTGCAGTGAGCTGAGATCGTCCCACTGCACTCCGGCCTCGGCAACAGAGACACTGTCTTAAAAAAATAAAATAAAATAAAATAAAATAAAATGTGAAAGCAAAAAGATTTTGACTAAGTACTCCTGGCCTGGAAGGGCTCTTTGTTTTACATGCAATGCAGGTGATCTGTCCTGAAAAGAGGCCTCCTGGTCACAAAGTCTTACTTGGAAAGAGCTCCAAGTAAACAGAGCCGCAAGCCCATCAGCCATGGAGCAGCCTCTGCTGCCCAGGACGGAAACCTGGAAACTCAGGGTAAAGGTGATTGAGGCTAGAACAAAAAGATTAGGGGAAAAAAAAGAAAACTAATTTGAAAAAATTGAAGAAAAATATTCTAACATGAAGTAATTTTTTATTAAAGCCTTGTCTCTGAAGTTAAATATGGCTAATCACAGTATTGTACATAATAATCTAAAATTTTAGCTATTGGCCAAGCACAGTGGCTCATGCCTGTAATTCCAGTGCTTTGGGAGGCCAAGGTGGGAGAATTTTGTGAACCTAGGAATTGGAACTAGCCTGGGCCGCAGAGTGAGACCATGTCTCTGACAAACAATAAAACGTTAGCTGGGCATGGTGGCATGGCCTGTAAAACAATAAATAAAAATGAAATTCTAACTACCACAAACTAAGCTACAATATTTGTGTCATCATATAGTAATAGACAATGTATTTCAGTCCAAAAGAAATAATCAAGAATTGGTTTCAAAATACATTCAGAGCTTTGCCTTCTCTGTATGGTGGAAGAGCAAGAAACAGACTCCCTCTGGCACCAAACACACAGGAAGCCAGACCAACTACATGAACCAGATGTTTCCAGACACTAGAAGCATCTGCAAGGAGCACAGGACAGTGGTCTAGAGGCTGAAACTGAGGGGACCACATTGCTGCCCCAGCTTAGAGCCTGCAGTGCCCCCTGGCAGTGCAGGGCGGAAGGATATAGGCAGCGCATGGCGGAAGGATATAGGCAGCGCATGAAAGTCCCCATGTTAAAGAGACAAAGTTGAGAATGTGAGGAGAGAAAAACGCAGGACTGAGTACCAGAAAGTAGGGAGGAGTGGCTGAAATAGGGGTAAGACTGGAGAGTAGAAGATGGGGGCTCATTAAACCATTGGCAGGTATATGGGTAAATACCAATCAAGATAAATAATATTACCCACTACAAAAGACAAACGGCACCCGACACTTGCCTAGGCTATAGTGCAGTGGCACAATCTCAGCTCACTGCAACTTCCGCCTCCTGGGTTCAAGTGATTCTCCTGCCTCAGCCTCCTGAGTAGCTTGGATTATAGGCACATGCCAGCATGCCTGGCTAATTTTTGTATTTTCAGTAGAGACGGGGTTTCACCATATCGGTCAGGCTGGTCTCGAACTCCTGACCTCGTGATCCACCTGCCTCAGCCTCCCAAAGTGCTGGTGTGAGCCACCGTGTCCGGCCCACACTACATTTTGTTTTTCAGAGCATTTTCACAAGAAAGCTTGTCATTATGAGTATAATATTGTCTAAAAGTAGCAGAGGAGGGAACATTTCCCAATATGTTTTAGGAAGCTAGTATACCAGTATACTCTCCAATAGAATCGGAGAAACGCAGTGCAAAAAAAAAAAAAAAAAAAAAAAAAAACCTGTAAAACAGTATGCCTCATGAAACGCGATGTGCAAATCCCCAACAAAACATTATTCAAGAGAACCACATGCTTCACCCCTGGGTGAATTTCTTCTAGGAATCATAAAGATTGGGGAAAATCAAAGGAAATCTTTTGTTAAGAATCAAAGTTGTAGAGTCCCGTCTTGAGTTGATTACTTTGAATTTTTCATCCCAAAATACATACAGGACCTGGTCTAATTCTATGATCTTTGCCACATACAGCCAGATGCTGAAGAGAAATAGATACAACAGCAATACGGGAGTTATCCTCTCTAAAGCCCAACAGAAAAAACCCGGAGTCGGAAGTTTCACAAACAAAAAAACAACATACTTATCCTGAATGAGGGAAGGAGAAACAATTCAAACATTTAAATTTAAATAGCTATGAGAATACTGACTTGTTAGAAACTGAAGCAGAGAGCAATGCTTCTAAATTCCACGCTTTTCCATCAGAATACGGAGATAGACAACCTCGAAGTGCAGTTTCTTCACAATTGTCTTATCCAGTCATAATATTAATTTCCTTATGAATCAAATCATAAAGTCAACTCATGATATATTCTCTGACTAAAAGAAGGCAGGATAAACTGAATGGTTAGTGTTTGGGTGAGGGAGAAGGGACCAAAATGGAGGAAGGTGAACAAGATAGCACAGTCCCGATTGCTTCCCTGTTCTTCATCACCAACTTTCCTGCGCGCGGGAAAGTGCAGGACAATGGAGCATGCGCCAGGTGACGTCAATCCGAAGAAATCGAAACTTACCTGGCCACACCTATGGAGACGCCCCAATCACGCCCTTATCCCCGCCCACTGCCCTCCCCCTTCCAGTACCAATGCATAAAAGTCTGCCACCGGCAGAGGACCGCGCGGACTTTCCTGGCCCCATACCTGAGGACCAGAGAACCTCGCCTGAGAGTGTGTGCGTATTTGCAATAAAAGGCTGCTGCTTTCTTATGTACTTTGACCTCATGTTTAATTATTTAGCTCTCCTAAATTAAATTAAGACAGTTAGTTGTCAGTGTAGTAAATTATGTCCAAGAATCTTATCGCTGCATTTTTTAATAAGGATGGAATTAGAAATAATCTAAGTTTCTATCAAAGAATACACAGTGAAACAAATCTTGTACACCCATTCTTTGGAATACATTTAAGACATTAAAAATAGAGAGAATCTTGTGCATTGATATGGAATAATGTAAATGATATATTGCTTCGGAAATAGCAAAATAAAAATATATATAGTATGATACAATTTGTGCTCAAAAACTGTACATGTATTTATCTTCTTCTTTATTTATTTATTTTTTTTGAGGCAGGGTCTCACTCTGTTGCCCAGACAGGAGTGCAATGGCATGATCACAGCTCACTGCAGCCTCAACCTCCTGAGCTCAAGGGATCCTCCCCGCCAGCCTCCCAAAGTGTTGGGATTATAGACACGAGCCACCGCACCTGGCCAAATTTATGTGTATTTATAAATTTATAGAAAACATCCAGAAGAATAAACACCAACCTATAATGATTCCTTCTAAGAAGAGAGTGAGTTTGGAACAAAGAGGAAGACATGGAGACTTCTGCTACATAAAGATCTCTATGATCTGCCATTATTCAAACAACATGCATTTCTTTTATAACTAGAAAAAGAAAAAAATATACACATTGTTACCATTTGGTAGGAGTGCAATAGTTTTGTTTTCATCAGTATTTGAATTACATGTTAGTGCACAGCACAAACCTGGAAGAGAAAGCCCAGAGGAATAATTAGAACAAAAAAATCACACCTCAAAAATTGAGTGGGTGTTATCTTTACATAACAACAAGTGTTCCAGGTGAGTGGTGGTCAGGATCTACCACTACTCCAGCTCCCTCAAATCACCTAAGCCCTGCCAAGGGGAAGGTGGAGGACAGGCAAGGCCAAGTGCCACCAAGTGCTCTCTCCAACCAAAGGCCTGTTTCTGCAAGTTTCCTGTCATTTAGAAGAAAATGGAGTCCAAATGGGATGTGGACCCCTTCAGGACACTGGCAGAGAAACACAAAGAATATACCACAGTCATAGCTTAGAGGAAGACCTAGTTTGAGACTTGAAATTCATCAAAAGCTTGTGTGAAGTAAATACAGCTACTCTACCTCTCCAAGTGTCAGTTTCCTCACCTATAAAATGGGAACTACATGTCAACTTCATCAAATTGTTGCCAGAGTTAAATTCACAAAGATACTTAAAAGTGACTGTTACTGTTACTGCAAGGGTCCACATTATTAAAAAAAGAAAGAAAAAAAAAACAGCAACAGACTTTAAAATACACAAAAGGAATAAGATGATCAGCTTTCAAAGCAACGTGAGGTGCATGACAATGAGATCTATCCTTAACTAGAACTCTTCACAGCTCCACTGAAGAGGACACACACGGGGCCACAAGAAGCTAAGTGGATGGCCAGTATAGAGTGACTGGTGAAGTGAGGGTGGAATCCCTAAAGACCCTCTGAAATGCAGTTACACAACAGGCTCCCAGGAAACACTGGAACAAACAAGGCAGCTGAGCAGATAGTACCAGGAATGAGTTGAGCAGAGAAGGGCCGGAGCCACAAATCTCAGCAGAATACACCAAACTGCAAGGAGCTCCTGGCTCTGTGAACAGCAGCTGTGGCTGTATCAGGACCAATCTTGTGAGGCAGCTGCTGGGGACAGCTGAGATCACCTGTTTTTGCAGCCACACACCCAACAGCAGTGCCTCTTGAACACAGACCACAAAACCCTCTCCATTCATCTTTAAGGTGACAGATGACGGATGCCCTCACATTACAACAGCCCCACCAACACTTGCAGACAAGTGTATTTAGAAACTCCCACCTAAAGAGGGAATAGTCAGGAGTAAAATGAGAATATTGAGGGATGGGGGAGGAACGCAGGTACTTGATCCCACAGACTCTACTGAAAACAAGGGAATAGAATGTTGTGCTGTGGTCTACCTATACTTCATCTCACCACATCCATAGATGCTGCATGGTTCTTGTTCCCCTATTTACAAAGGTGCTGATGAGCCCAAGTGTAATTGATCCTGAAGGAGAAAATTCTTTACAAAGTACAATTACAGTGTCTAATATCCATTACCAGGGTTTTTAGGGTTTTTTTTTGTTTAATAGTAACCCACATTCAGGAATCACAAATGAAGCCTGTTGTAATGTATGATATGAGCAAGGTCTTATTTTCATGTAAAAAACCATGGTTTTTACAGATTAAACATAAAAGCATAAAAGCTGGTGCCATTCCAGAATCAAAACTGTCCCTGAGGACATATGGAAATAAGGGACATCAATGATTAGGAAGCTACACAAAACTAGAAGTGCTCCCAGAAGTTTCCATTGTCTAGACAGAAAAATTAAACAGATCAGCCTGAGAGAGTAAAGGTACCGCCGTGAATGCCCGGGGTGATGAACATTCCATTCAAAGCAAAGTTGTGAAGCCTGAGGAGTTTCAAAGATGCCCCAAGTGCTCCACACCTTGGGCTTCCACAAAGCTGGAGCACCACGTGTTCCTGAGGATCAGGTTGCCAACTGCGTCTTTGAGACACTGCCCAGTCAGGCCTCAGTTGAGATGAGGTCACTGATGTCACGTGTAAAATGCCTAAACCATTTTCATCTTTAGGTAGCTATTTGGTGAACTTTCCACCAAATGGGTTGGCAGAAAATGGCGCACCAAAGACACGCCTGGGAAGTGAGATTTTCTCCTCTGCTCTTAGCATCTCTTGGGTAAACCAATAATGACACTCCCTGCCGCCTCAACATCCATATCTGCGAAAAAGGCGCTGGTGAGGGTGACATTTTCACGAAGCCACAGTCCATATCACCCCCTGCAAAGCTCTGAACTTGTGCACAGGCTGGCCAGGCGGCGGATTTCTCGCCATAGCGGCTGCACTGCGCTCTGGCTAGAGAGAAAAGAGGGCAGCGGCAATGGACAGCGCCTGGACCTCAGGCCAGTTCCCACAGCAGCTTAGGAAAGCAGGCGGCTCCCTGGGCTGGAGGAGGCGCGATGCCCAGGAAAGACCCCTGGTGCAGGTGGGAGAGCGAACCCAGCCAAGCAGCGGGAAGTGGGGTGAGGACCACACCCGTCCGAGTTGGACAAGGGCAGGTGCACTTCGCGGCATCACGCCCTCCTCACTGCCCAGCCTGGACCTCCCCCTCCTGTCCCTCTCCGGACTCACTTCCCATGGCAAAGAGGTGCCCGCGATCAGTAGCCAGCATCGGTGTGGAAGCGGTGAGGTCCACACTGCCTTGCCCAACCCTCCTGGATTGCCCGCCTCCTCGCATGTCGCCTGCTGAGATTCTAGTCCAGCCGCCTTGCCACCAACGGGCAGGGAACCGTTAAGAGATACCGTTTCCAGCCTGCCTGGCCAGGAACGCGGTGCCCCGCTCCTCCCACGAGAACTGCGCCCCGCCCCCGAGCCCGGGGAAGACTGGGATTGTAGTCCCGAAGCGCTTGAAACAACGGGCAGGAGCGGTGAAGAGACTACAGCTCCCCGAATGCACAGCGAGGCCGGCACAGCCCGGCTTCCCCCTTCAGTACTGCGTGCCACTCCCTGTTCATGCTGGCTGGGATTGTAATCCGGTCGCCCTGCAATTAAAAAACTGGAAGCTAATCAAAGATGACAACTCCCAGTATGCCAGGCGTAGCTCCCGCCCTTGAATCCACACCTCCCCGAGTCCAGAGCAGTTCTGCCATGCTAAGGGGAGCCTGGCTGTTTCCATACCTCTCCTGCCTGCCAGAAGACAGCGGGACCAGGGCGGCTGGTCTTACCGTGTAATTATGTCACTACCTCTCCCTAAGATGCTGGTTTCATGCTTCGTCATTGCCAGAAGTTTGATTTCTCACGGAGCAGCAGGGGACCAGGAGCGGCTCACAAACCTGTCAGGGTTGCCATAGTAAGGCTCCTCTTCCAGGAGCGGTACTCGCTCCGCCCCTTCCCTCGCCCCTGCCCCTTCTCCCACCCCTGCCCCTTCTCCTTGCCCCGCTCCTTCCCTTGGGGGCAGCGTCTCCACTTTGGCACCGCCCCTCCTCCTTGCCCCACCCCTGACACGCCCCTTCGGACATGCGCAGTGTAGTCCCTGCGTAGGACTGCGACTAATGGCCAAGTGTCTGACAGTTCTCCGACTTCTTGGCATCCCACGCGGGAAGTTCCCTGGTGAGTGTCCGAAACTGTCAGTTGACTGCCAGAAATGGATATACGCGGTCCCTGATAACCTGGCACTTGCCCTTTCAAAGCCACCATTTCCTCCATCCTCTAGGCTGTCACAAATCCTCCTCTGCACTCCCGGGAGTGCCCCTTGGACCTGGGGCTGGCTGCAAGGCCCACACCTGGGTCAGGCCTCTCACAGGGACGCTCCTGCCACTCTAGTAAGGAGTAGAAAACGTCACAGTGAAAAAGGCCTGACCCTGCTGCATCCAGTCAGGAAACAGCCACAAGGAAGGGAGCCCCTAAGACACTTCGGGAGCCACATCCACTACTTCTCTGCCCCCGACCCAGGCTGGTCCCAGACCTTGGGGTCCTGGTGTGCACCTCCCGGTGGTAATTAACGCAGGTGCAGAACCAGAGAGCCCCTTGGTCCCTTCCAACACATGAGGGAAGTTTGTGTGGTGAAGTCATGAACAGTGTCTGCGTTGCTGCTGTGAATAGGGCTTTCTTGGAAACAATTTTAATTTCCCTTTTTAAATATCCCTTTGGAGCCACATTTAATAAGTTGCTGGTGGAACTTAACAATGATAATTCTTTGAATCCATTTTTCTTTTTCTTTTTTTGAGACGGAGTCTCACTCTGTAGCCCAGGTTGGAGTACAGTGACCGAATCTGGGCTCACTGCAACCTCCGCCTCCCGGGGTTCAAGCAAATGTTCTGTCTCAGCCTCCCCAGGTACCCACCACCACGCCTGACTAATTTTTGTATTTTGGGTACAGATGGGGTTTCACCATATTGGCCAGTCTGGTCTCAAACTCCTGAGCTCAAGTGATCCACCCGTCTCAGCCTCTCAAAGTGCTGGGATTACAGGCGTGAGCCACCGCACCCAGCCTGAATCCATTTTAACATTTAATTTTCCAGATTAACTCGAAGTACCCCACGACTACATGCTAATGAAACTAGAGGAGGCACAGCCTCAGCTCTGTGCAGGACGGATGCAGAAGAGCAGAATCTCCATGGGACGTCTTTCTGGAGTATCAATATTACTGCAGGATTTGGGAAAGAAACAAATTTAAATAATTTCCAACGTAAGACACTGGAAATTTAAGAGAAGACTGGAAAGTCATTGGCCTTTAATAACTGTCAGTCATCTGTGCCTAACTGGGACTTTCTCCAAGAAAAAAAGAAAAAAAAAAACTCTAAGGAGAACCTATTTTTCATTCTTCTAAGTAGTTAAAATTAGAAATCACAGCAAGTCAATAGAAAACTCTGCCCTGCCAGTCTCCTAAATCACAATATGGCCTTGGTATGGATTTATTTGTATTTTTTGGAGAGGTTTGTTGACATGTTGGGTATAAAAATTGGGGGGTTTTGACCAATTTTTGGAAGTTGTCAGCTATTAGTTTGCTTTGTACCTCATTTAATTTTTCTGCCTCCTCTCCAACTTGGACTCAATCACTCCACAGGTCTCTAAGACTCTTCGTTTTCTTTAAGCTTTTTCACTCTTTTATCCAGAATGGACAATTTCTATTGCTCTGTCTTCTGCTTCTAACCTTTGAATAAGCTCAAAAGTATTTTTTAAATTTCCTTATCTTCCTATTGTTTCATAATTTCCATATCTTTGCTGAGGTTCCACTTCTCTTTATTCATTATTAGAATATTTTCCTTTACCCCCATGAACAGATTTATAATAGCTGCCTTTAAACATCCTGAATTAGAACACCTTGAATATCTTAGGATCAATTTTACTGCCTGCTTTTTTAATTGCGTATGGGTTACATTTTTGTGTTTCTTCACATGTCTCATGAATTTTAAAGTTGGGTACTAAAACTGTAAAGAATCATTAGAGAGACTCTTAATTCTGTTGTGTACCTTTGAAGGGTGGTGTTATTGTTTACAAACGATGTTAATTGTGCTGGATTCAAATGTCAATACCTATCTCCCCTATAGTGGGCACAGCTGAAATTCTCATTCAGTTCTTACTCACACATGAGTCATATTTGTATTATGTAGATGTGTTTCTATAACAATATATATTATTTGGATGTCATCATTATAATCTGTGTTAATTCAACAAGCTACTCCAGTATTACTGAAAGCCAGGACCCCAGTTTTGTCAGCTTCTTGGATTTTGTATAAATTAAATTGTATAGTATGTATACTTTTACATTTACTTACTTTTATGGAACAGTATAATTGTGATATTCATTCATGCTATTGCAGATATATATGGTCTGTCCTTTTTTTTTTTTTTTTTTTTTTTTTTTCCCGAGATGGAGTCTCTCTCTGTTGCTCAGGCTGGTGTGTAGTGGTGCAATCTTTGTTCACTGCAACCTCCACCTCTGGGTTCAAGCAATTCTCCTGCCTCAGCCTCCTCAGTAGCTGGGATTTATAGGCACGCACCACTACGCTTGGCTATTTTTTGTATTTTTAGCAGAGACGAGGCGTCACCATGTTGGCCAGGCTGGTCTTGAACTCCTGACCTCAGGTGATCCACCCACCTCCTCCTCCCAAAGTGCTGGGATTACAGGCGTGAGCCACTGTGCCCAACCAACAATTTGTTTTTTCATTTTAACAATTTTTAAGTGTGTAGGTCAAAGGAATTAAGCACATTCACGCTGTTTTACGAGCATCCTCCACATTTATAGGAAGTGTTTTTCATTCTGCAAAACTACAGCTCTGTACCCATTAAACACCTCACCTACCTTCCTGCAGCTGGGAACCACTCTTCTGCTTTGCGTTTCTATAAACGTAACTACTCTAAGTACCTCATATGAGTGGAATCATGCAGTATGGTGAAGAAATCATAAGAACGTATAATACACACTATATAACATATGTTTATTTATTTGAACAAAAACACTAACAGAGATCAGTAGTATATGGTGATTATAGAGAAAGAGATAAAAAGAGAAAAGGATTGGACAGACACATTAAATTTATGACAATGATGCTCAAGTACCACAGCAGTGAGTCCCCTGCCCTAGTCACAGGGCTGATCACAGTGGAGCTGCGAGCCCTGACTCCCAGAGCACATGCTCAGTCCAAACTTCGCCGAGCGCTGAGGCACTCTGTTCCGCCACCCGGGCACTCAGTGGGCCTGAGATTCTTCATGGCCTGGTCTTCTTGGCCTTGAGGGCGTGGCTGGCCTACTGGGATAGGCCTCAGTGGCAGGACAGGTTGTAGCTGTAGGGCAAAGCAGCAGCTGTGAGGCTCCAGGAGCCACACCTCAGGCCTCCCTCCCAGTGCCTGCCCAGGGCTCCCATACAACAGGGTCTGCTGCTGACCAGGGAGCTGTGGCCACAGGCTGTCTGAAACTGACCACAAGACAGAGTCTCCGCCCACCTTCTGTCAGTCCGCTAGCCTCTCACCTCTCAATCGGACTGTGCTGCTTCATGGACTTGAAACAAACCCCATATTCCTCCTGAATCTGAGATGATAATTCCCTCTTGTCACTGAAGCAGCTGTATTTCTTGGAGGACTTTAATCTCCTGGAGCCACAGGGAAAAACAGTAGGTTAACAGGGCCTGGGTGGAAGATGCTGAAGGGCCCTTAGGGAGGGAGTAAACTGAGGCCGATCTCTAGGGCTTTTCTCTTAATGGGCCCCCTCTTCTCCAATCCCATGCAGTCCCAGACTTTTCTCAGAGTTGGATATAAACAGATAAACAGCCCCCCTAGGAATTTGTCCATGATTCCTGTCCCCTACCCACAGCCTCCATTGGGATGGGTCTCCTCTGTGTATCAAACCCTCCCAATAAGTCCAGGATGCAGAGGATGGAGCCAGGGAGTGTTGTACCCAGGGTAAGTGGGTGGGAGTCTCTGACTTCCACATCCCCACCCTCCCCCAAAGTGAGGGCCCCAGCTGCTCCCCTTTTTCCTTTCTGGGTGTTGATCACATTTCCCTGGAAGACAGCCAGCCAAAGACCCTCAGAGAGGCCCCTGGCCCATGACTTGCCCCCATCCCCACACCCTCCCATCCTGCACTACGGCCAGGCCAGCAGGGGTGAGAAATGTGCACAGAACAGCACTGGGACCTGCATCAGGCTCTGGGCTCTAGATGAGGAGGTGTGGGAAGTGTGGCTCAGGGACCTTCTGCCCCAACACTCTCTGACAAACGGAGGCCTTGTATAGGAAGAAAATGCTCGGCCACTTAGAAGCTGCCTGACTTGGGAGGGGCACAATTTCCCTCTCCTTCCACAGGCACCGCCTGAGGGAGTGGCTGAGTCCAGCTCCTGCAGCTTTGCAGTCAGGCAGCTCTGC